GAGCCAGGAGTGCTTGCAGATGGCCGCGGTGATGTTGGTGGTGACAGCAGGCCAAGCAGGGACCAGCTGTAGATGGCTGCACTGGAATCAGCGGTGGGAGGGGGGTGGCGAGCGCTAAGTGGAGATTGGTAACTGCCTGCAGATGCTGCTGGCAATGTCAGTGGCGGGGGAAGGTGACAAGTGACGACCGCCCACAGATGCTGCTGGCAGCGGCCAATCTCAGGAGGTGCAGATGCACCCGCGTGGATAAGGCAACTGGGAGGGCGGCAGGAAGGGAAGAGGAGGAGGAGGAGGAAAGGAAGAAGCAGGGGGAGTGGGATTGGGATGTAGCAGGGGCTACCCAAGAGGCCAACTGGGGTCTGCTCCAGCTGCCATTTAGCCTCCAAGCAAAGTGGGGCTGCCTCCTGTCTGCCCATTGCCCCCATGCAAATCCCTGGCCTGCTGTGGTCCCCACCCCACTACCTCTGCCCTACTACACCTGGGTGCTCACTGCCCACGTGGGTCCAGATGGTGGCACAGTGTATCCCAGTGAAGCAGGGCTGTCCCAGCTGTGGGATCATTGCAGCTCCAGCTGGCCCCCACACAATTCCCATGGCCACTGCTGCCTGTACCCATTGCAGATCTCAGAGCCACTCTGCCAGGACATGATGTGCTAGTCCAGCCTGGCCTGTGCACTACCAGCCCTGAGTGCTTTGGCACACCTACTACTGCCATCTGCAACCATCTGGGAAGTGAGTGCCTAGGAGCAGTGGGCATGGGGAGCAGGGTAGGGACTGTGATGGGCCAGGGACTCATTCATGTGGAGGCAGAGGGAAGGCAGCAGCAGTCACCTCTTTCTGAGGGCTAAAAGGCAGCTGAGGCAGACCCTGTCTAGCCCCATGGGTGGCCCTTGTTGCATCCCCCTCCCACTTCCCCATCTCCATCCCATTTGCCCTTCACCAGGCCCTACCTTCTCTTTCCCCCAACCCCCTTCCCTGAAGGGCCAATCAGCAGGCCCCAAAGCCCAAGAAACCAGGCCCTGGGGCTGTGCAGAGACCAGAAAATCACTGGTTCCCTCATTCCCGACCTGCAGCCCCCTCCCTCCCGCAGCCCAGCCAGAAGGGACCCCAGCTGCCCGCCCCCGGCCCCAGGCCTGAGTCCCCTCAGGGCCTACTTACCCTAAAGGCTGCAGGAGACAAAGTGAGTTTGAGCCAGCCCTGGCTGGTCTGAGATTCTGAGGCCCTGCCCCTCCCCCTCTCCCTCCAGACAAGGCTTAGGGTTTTGCACTCTTTTTGCAAGCAGCTCCTTGCAGGCTAGAACTCTGCCAGCCTGCAGAGAGCTGTTTGCAAAAGGGGAAACCTGCAATTTCCTGCATCGAAGGGGGAAATCCTTGTTTTTCTCCTTTAAAAGAGAAAATCCATGTTTTTCTGC